CAAATGATACAGAGTGCGCCAGAACTCGAAAAAAATGCCATGTAAGGTAAGATACTAGGAAGGATACTAAGAAATTCTATCTATAAAAATTGCGAAGTTATGAGAGTTTAAATTTGGCACTTTGACTCTACTTATTTCTGATAGAAAAATAATTTTCTAAGTTTTTTACTATAGGCTATTAGAAGAGAATACAAGAAAGCTGTATCCTAAATTGAAATTGTAACTCTGTTTAATGTTATTATTATTTTATTTATACTTATTGGCAAAATTTTTGTACTTTTACTAAATAATTATAAAAAAACATGTATAAGATCATCAATATCATGAAATAGACATAAAAATGTCAAATCTAAAAAATTTTAGTTTGTTGAAATAGGTACTTTGATTCAGGTTGATTTCCGGCTTGAAATTGAGACAAAACGATTGAAAATATCACAAATTATTTTATTTCAGCTTAAAATCGAAATTGAAGCATTTTTTTTATGAAATACATTAATTTCGAATTAATTCTGTATTAAAATCGAGAAAAATTGAACTGAAAATAGCTCAAATTAGTTTATTTTGGAAGAAAACTCTTATTCAAGCCATTAGTTTGCCACACTTTGATTCAGATTGATTTCCGGCTTAAAATTGAGCCAAATTGATTTAAAATATCACAAATTTCTTTATTTTAGCCTAAAATTGAGATTTAAGCAATTATTTTTATAAAATTACTTAATTTTAAATTAATTCTGTATTAAAATCCGAGCTAAATTAATTTAAAAATTGCTCAAATTGCTTTATTTTTGAAGAAAACTCTTATTCAAATCATTAGTTTGTCGAAATACTTTGATCCAGGTTGATTTTCGGCTTAAAATTGAGACAATGCGATTCAAAATATTACAAATTGCTTTATTTAAGCCTAAAATTGAGATTGAAGAAATTATTTTTATAAAAAAATTAATTGTAAATTAATTCTGTATTAAAATCGAAAAAAAAAATTGAAAATAGCTCAAATTGCTTTATTTTGAAAGGAAACTTTTATTCAAGCTAGTATTTAGTTGAAATACTTTGATTCGGGTTGATTCTCGGCTTTAAGTTCATCCAAAACGATTGAAAATACTGGTACTTTATCTTACTTGAAATTAATAATAAAAATAATAGTATATTATGTTATTAAGAGTAAAAGCGATAGTTTATGTGGCGAAGTTGTCCAACGCAGTGAGGCAAATAATTCAGCTGTGCCACATAAACTCACTTTTGCTCCGACTATACCTACTATTTTATCCGCTAACGTATTCAGATCAAAAATAAAGAGCAACTCTATAATTACCAAGTACATGGACAAAATAATCAGGATGCTTTGCAACTAATGAAATCAGAATAACGCTTATAAACAAACATCATGTGTCAGTAACGGAATTTATGTTGAGATTTTTGAAAGTGTTTATTAATTTAACTAGTACAGTTAGTAGTGCAAAATGTCGAATACAATCTACAATGTACCTCTCCAGAAATTGTTAAAACAGCGAAAGAGACAAGAAAGAAACAATAATGATAAATGTCAATAATGTCATGGTAAAAGTAAAAAGGCTTAGGTGCAAAAATGGAATTTTTACTCCATGGCTGAAAGTTAAAACTCTTACTTTACTTGTGACATTTTGTCATAAAAGTGCTCAGTTAATTTATGTCTTGATCTTCCTTGTTGGAGAGTTTGTAACAAAAACCCCCCCTTCAAAACTTTTTTAATTTTAAAATTTGCAGTAGAAAAACAGACGTAAGTAATACATGAAATTGTTACTCATGTTATAATATTAAAAGTGAGAGGTCTGAAGAAGGCAAAAAAATCCGAAACCGGTAACTAAAATAAATACAATTTTTACAAGTTTGGGTGAGCACGATTTTGTTAAAAAACCCTTTAATAGTGGGTTATGTAACTATAATTAATTTTTACAAATTTTGAATTTTACTTATATTTTTCGCGTTGTAATTATAGATTTGGTAATAATTTAAACATAGGTAATATACCATAAAATAATAAATGTCGTTGAAAGGTTGAAATAACGCACATTACGTTAACTTGTTGGCTTATTTATTTTCTACAATGTGAAAAAAGCTGGTAAAATACATAAGTACACCTAATTTTAAAAGCATCTGGTACGACATGTGTATGTTTATTCAAGGTAATTTTGCTAAAGTTTATTATTATAACCATTAGGCAAAGATGTAGTCTTTTCTCACTAGGATTATGGAGAAATAAAGTAAAACGCAAAAATTACCTTCTAAAAAATTCCTCTACAATTTTAACGAGTTTAATAATTAATTTAGTAGATACCTAGCTACTGATTACTTCGACTGCATCATGTGTGCTCTTATTAATATTCTTGATAAGCTTATATCATTTGACAAAAACTGGGCAATGCTCGCTGAGTTAGCCTTGTTCCGTAATAATTTATCGCAACGAAAACTGATATTAATAATAACCTCTCTCATTTTTTAATCTGAAGGATATAACTTTGTAGAAAATACATAATTTGCGTCAAGACAGGAAATTAATGCAAAATGAAAATGAAGAATGTTGATGTACAGCCTCCAATTTCTCACTGATCCATCACGTTGTCCTGATCTTTTCCCCGTTTTAGAAGTCTGAACGATTTAATAATTAAGTAATAATCTGGGAATGGTAAACTTAAAATCGCATCTGATGTAAATCAGATTTGAGCTTTTTCATCCTAGTGATCTGAGCCTTTGCGCGATTAATCATTTCGATATCTAATATAAGTTGTAATTTGTATTGCCAACCAAAGATGGAATATTGCAAGGTATTTCACAAAGAATTATGGTGTAGGTTGAACATTTTCAATAATAACTTGTTTAAACAATCTCTTTGTGCTACGGAGCTATTTTTTACCAGGTCATAATTGAGCGTTTAGTTTGGAATTCTCCCAGTTGCAGGATTTTGAAAAAAGGTAATTAATTAAAATAATGTCCACTTTTTCTTTATTAAAGGAAAATTATTAGGCCAAAATTATGTATCATTTCCAAAAAGCCTTTTTTGTTATATTTCTTATAATTTCTGCTTATGCTAGTGGTATAATGAAATGTTAAAATTATGAATTTTGTGTTTATTTTGGCCCTACAAGTAAGGGCAATATGTTATGGGCAAAAAATATTTTCTTCTGGAAGATGCAAAGGGTTATTATGAAGATTAACAATAAACTTTTGTGTATTATAGGTAATTTATTTGAAAAGAGGTCAAATAAACGCAAGTTCTAAAATCGTTTTTAGCTTCAGTTTCAAAATTTTATTAACCTCAAAAACTCTTATTAAATTACAGTTGCAATTCCTGTATGTTTAACAAATGACATCAAGGTTTTAACAGTGATTATGAATCCTACTTTTACATTTTTTTTTGAAAAACTTCCAAAACTATTTGAGAATTAATTCTGGTGGGAGTGGTTAAAAAATATACAAACTGCATACCTTAAAATGGGGTTATTTTGATTCCTCGGGTTACTTTGATACGTTATGGTGCTACTAATTTTGTATAATTTTCAGTATAGGTACCGACCAAAATTATGTTTATTTTATGCCATATAAAAGCCATTACATACCAAAAAATGACTTAGTTTTTTAAAGAAAATATACAGCGTATGGATAGAGAAAATTTTCAACTAAAAAATTTTGACATTTGACATTTTTTATGTCTATTTAATGATACTGAAGATCTTGTATATGTTTTTTTGTAATTATTTAGTAAAGGTACAAAAATTTGCCGATAAAAGCCACAAATAACACCAAATTTAGAATACAATTTCTTTGTTTCCTCTTCTAATCGCCTGTAGCAAAAAAACTTGGAAAACAGAAATACAGGTATAGAGTAAAAGAGTTTAAAAAAGTTAATTTACATCATATATTACATATTTTTAGTTCTAAAATGTCAAAGTAATTAAATGGTCTGTCAAAATAGCCCCGAAGTCGGGGTTTCTTTTACATAAAATTTTCTATGACCTTGAGGCAAAATTTTAAGTTTGTTTGTTAAAGCAGAAGAATCAATTGTTCTGATGCTAATTTTTTCAAGAAAATATTGCAACGAATATTTATTTGTAGTGTGATTTTGTAAGAAGTGTGTTTTGGCAAAATGGGAAAACAAATTAATTAAAAGGTCATTATGAAACCTTACAAGCATATCTGAGGAATGTGATATGATTGAAATGGACGTGCTGATGGGGAAATTATATGCCTTAATCAAGTATTTTAGATAGTTAGAATTCCTCCGGGTGTCTAAAATTGATCGGGAAAAAAGGGTTTTAAAGCGATTCTTGAAAGTAACAATAGGAATTATTCAATGAAAGTGTTGTCATGGGGAAAAAGTCGCCGAATAATGATATTAAAATTAAAGCATACAGTCACGGTATGCTGATTAATTGATCTGAATTAAGATGCATTTATGCATGGTGTAAAAAAAGTAAAGAAATGTGAGGTCTTAACGTTTTAAATTAAATAATAAGTAATAATAGGCATAAATAACGTAATGCGAAATTTTTATATGAAAATTAGTTGGGACGTTAAACGCTGTTCAAAAAAAGGTTTCGGTTGGCATCTGCGAGGTAGTATTTTAAAATATGCGCAAATACCATCTTAAAGAAGTCATGTTACATTTTAGCCTGCCATATTTATTGTCCGGGTTGCGTCCGCATAAGTCCGGGATTTATTATAATCATATGTGAGGTTCGCGTTTTGAGCTCGCGTCGAAATCTCCGACGGCTTGGGACGGATTTATTACGATTATGAATGCGCTAGTGAGCGTGAGCCGCGCTGGCCCGCGAATAGACAAGACAATAGTTTGTTTCTGTGGGTTTGAGACAATGGTCCGCTTTTCAAACTTGCCGCCTTGTACCTGTGCGCCGAGGCCGATCCTCAGGTAAGACAGGTTGCGGGGCGCGGCAGGAGGCTGCTTGGAATGCGGGGAGGGCATTCGCAGTCGCCGCTTCTACGCTCTCGCTCAGTCGATCTCAAGACCTAAGTCGAGGAGTCGGTTCGCGTCTCTTTTCGCTGTTTCGCCAGTCAACGCGTCCAAGTGCGACGGCGACGCCGTCCCCGCGAGTGCCAGTGATCCCGAGTGCGAGTGTGCGCCGGTCGGCGTAATCCGGGCACCCGGAGTCGTCGCGACTCCTGGGCGAACACGCCGCGCACCTAGCCGAAACCGTCCACCCGTTTTTAATCCCCGGAACGGCACCTTCAAAAGAATCCGGTAAATTGAGGAACCATTACAAACATATTTAGAGAGCGAACGCGCACCAACGGCACCGGCGCATGTTTTCAGGCCCGATAGTAGCGCTTTTGTTCTGGTTATTAGCAGCTCCATATCAAGGGATGCTACAGCCTTCCAGGCCTCGCAACCAGGATGCGTGAACGCACAAAATGACGCTGTCGACGATGCTGCTGCTCCTGCTCCTGGCGGCGTCCAGGGCGGAGCACGTGCGCGACCTAGAGGTCTCCGAAGGGGCGCCCGTCGGCACCAGGATTGGATTCATAGGTGACGGGGCTTCCGATAGTGGACCTCCGTATCTTATCGTTCCGGTTGGAAGTGCCGTCGACTCGGACCTCAACATTGATCAAACGACTGGAGAAATACGGACTAAAGTGCCTTTAGATCGCGAAACGCGATCGAGTTATTCTTTAGTGGCCATCCCAATCAGAGGTGACAATGTGAAAGTGGTTGTTAAAGTGCTAGATGAAAATGACAACGCGCCCACTTTTCCGATGTCAATTATGAGCATCGAATTCCCAGAAAATACACCAAGAGACGTCAAAAGGACTCTACACCCGGCGAGAGACCTAGATCTTGATATTTTCAACACACAAAGATACAACATTGTTTCAGGGAATATCAACAACACGTTTAGATTATCGTCACATAGGGAACGCGACGGAGTGCTTTATTTAGACCTGCAGATTAACGGGTTCTTAGACAGGGAAACAACACCAGCTTATAGCCTCGTTATAGAGGCACTCGATGGTGGAACTCCTCCTCTTAGAGGCGAAATGACGGTCAATATAACTATCCAAGATGTAAATGACAATCAACCAATTTTTAATCAAAGTAGATACATTGCAACCATTCCTGAAAACGCCACAGTTGGAACAACTGTTCTCCAAGTCTTCGCTATCGATAAAGATTCAGGAGAGAACGGTCAAATCGAATATTCGATCAATAGACGACAAAGTGACCGAGATAACATGTTTCGAATCGATCCAACAACCGGTCTCATCGTAGTCAACAAACCCTTAGACTTTGAAACTAAGGAACTCCACGAACTCGTCATCGTAGCCAAAGATCATGGTTTACAACCATTAGAAACCACTGCTTTTGTCTCAATCAAAGTAACAGACGTGAATGATAATCAACCCACAATCAATGTAATTTTCTTGAGCGATGATGCTACGCCTAAAATAAGCGAATCAGCACAACCTGGTGAATTTGTAGCAAGGATATCTGTCAACGATCCCGATTCGAAAACGGAATATTCTAACATAAATGTCACACTAAGTGGAGGCGACGGTCATTTCGGGTTGACCACAAGAGATAACATCATTTATTTGGTAATAGTGTCTTTGCCTTTGGACAGGGAATTGCAACCGAATTACACTTTGGATGTGGTGGCTACCGATCGCGGAAATCCTCCACTTCACGCCTCCAGGACAATAAATCTGATGGTGACTGATATAAACGATAACGCGCCTGAATTTGACCAAGAAGTGTACCACGCAAATGTGATGGAAGTGTCCGATCCAGGGAGTTCAGTGATTCAAGTTTTGGCTACTGATAAGGACGAGGGAAATAACAGTGCAATCAGTTATTCATTGTTGGACACCGCCGAGACGCACTCGTCTTGGTTCCAAATCGATTCTCGCAGTGGTTTGGTGACGACTCGGGCTCATGTCGATTGTGAAACCGATCCAGTGCCGCGTCTAACCGTGGTTGCTACAGATAACGGTTTTCCTCCTTTATCGTCTTCAGCGACAGTGCTAGTGACCATCCACGATGTCAACGACAACGAGCCCATCTTCGACCAGAGTTTCTACAACGTTTCAGTGGCCGAAAACGAGGCCGAAGGACGCTGCATCCTAAAGGTAAGGAAAAACGCGGCCCGAGGTGGTGGGAATCCTCCTTGGAACGTCTAGTAAAAACGCGTCGATCAAAAACGACCAAACAAAAGTAAAAGTTTAACCGCGAATGACACTGTTAATTGGACAGGAGGTATGACACGGTGGGTTACCGCGAACGGACGAGATATGCGACATATTTCAAGTGTTTGCATTGCTGACAACACGCAGCCGATGACGACGTTAATGGCTTCACGACTAGAGGATTTTCTCGACGATCGAATTTCGACGGCGACGACGGCCACCCATCGAGGGTGCTCGCGACCGGCTCGATTTCGAGGACCAACGTTTCCTAATATAAAATTTATTAAGTGTCTCCTGCTGTTTTAAATGCTTGTTTTATAAGCAGTTTTGAATGAATGTCGGTGTCATGTCCTGGAAAAAATGTTATGATTTCGCTCGGGTCATCGTCTCCACCTGATTTTCGGTTGCTTTCCAATTTTTTTTATTTTCAAACTCCTACGTACAATTTCATTGAAATGATTAAGTAACGCAATTAACATGAAAGTGAGCGTAACAGCTCGAAATACGAGATATACAGGACGAGACATTTACAGTTAACTTTTATAACCGGGTCTGCACGAATTTATTCAGTTTCACCTCTCGAATTTTTCGACTCAAATCTCCAAATTGAAAACACCGGAGCTATTCTTAGAGATTTAACGGTAGATTCTAACACGAGAGAAAAGACTTCTTTTTCATAATTAGACACCCGGACTGTCGTTAATGTCAACGCCGGCCTTGCTCTGTTATTTATTTTTTAATCTTTAATACTTAAGCTGCTTAAAAGCTGTTTTTATATAGCCATATTGATACGTTTTTGGAAAGCCAAATGTGGGCTGTTACGTTGTTCTATTAACAAAAAATTAGAATCTGTTTTCATTCAAAGAAACAAAAATAGGACTCTTTACTCAACGAGCTACTAACTCAACAATTGAAACTTTAGAACATTTCTTAATTTACTCTCTAATAAGTCTAAAAGATTTTGTTATATTTTTTTCCGTAAGCTTCTTTTTATATTAAAATGGCTTTGTATATGTTTTTTAAGACTAGATCTTAAACCACATTTATTTAAATTTAATTAACTTAATTTGTTTGAATTACTAAATTAACTTATTTTTGCAGTATTTCAATTTTATATGCTGTGACACCTAATTAGTAGGTATATCATATCAATGCACAAATTAATTACTCCTAATAAATTCTTGCAACATTTAGTTTTGCTCGAAAAGCTTGTATGTAGAGCTATTTTTAAATTTTACTGACAATAAGTTGAAAAGTTAGCATTTTTGAAGAATATGTATTTAAAATAAACATCAGAAGTAGTGGAAATATAAACTAAAGTTTTGAAGAGTTTTCAAGACTATTTTTGCTCCAGTTTTGAACGAATTTCTAGGTTATTTTTAAAATGGTTTTTATTTACTCTGGGTGAACTCAAACTCTTATTTGATGCTTCTGTATTTTAAAATTTTTAAAATTTTTAATACGACGAAAGCGAATTTTTGAAGTGTTTTCTAGATTTATTATATTTTAATGTTTTTAAGTATACAGGATGTCAGAACTCGCGCCCCAGAGAAAAATTTCGCGTAAGATAAGATACCAGAAACATGGAAAAATTGTTTTAATTTTATTTGTCATAAAATCTTGACATTTATTTTTTGATATTTGACATTTTTCTATATTTATTTAGTGATATTGATGATTTTGTATGTTTTTTTAATAATTATTTAGTAAAAGTACAAAAATGTTGCCAATAAAAGCCATAAATAACATTAACAGAGTTACAATTTATTTCTTATAGCCTGTAGCAAAAAAACTTGGAAAATTATTTTCCCACAGAAAAAAAAATAGAGAAAGTGCAAATTTTAAACTCTCATAACTTCGAAATTTTTTTAATATTTTTTCCATATTCCTGGTATCTTACTTTACATGACATTTTTCTCTGGGGCGCAAGTTCTGGCGCACTTTGTTTAAATGTTGATCGATAGTTGAAAAACATTTTCTTCGATATTTCGGAATTGAGTTTAATCTAAAATTTGAATTCTCAGTGTTTGCTTATGAAATTAGAGTGTAGAATAATATTAGTGTCGTGACTTTCCCCGGAAATGACATCAGCGTCTTTTGCATGTCAAATAAAAATCTAATCGGTTATAAATTTACAATACAAATATTATGCAATTGTATAATCATCATATTCATATTTCATCGAGAGCTGCACAGGTGTTCCGGGCCCACATTCCGGGCGGCTTTATTTTCCATTTACCGGAAAATCAGCGACCTCGTTCCCATCGTTCACAACATATTTGCAAATATCGCGAAATTTATGTCGTGTTCGCTCGACTCGCTCATTAGAATGCAGGAGAGAAAGGATTTATGATTAATTAGACTCCGGTGAAATAATCGGAAACGACCTGCTAAAGCACCTGTGTGTGTGGTGTGTCAACTTTCAACTTTACCAAAGCGTTTTATTTACTCTTGTCAATGCAAATTGCGCCTTGTGACCCACTTCGGGTCGGTATCTCGAGAGTGAAACTTTATAGTCGCATCTAACAACGATTCGCACTTAGAGGAGATGATGTTTTTATCGGTGCCGTGGGCGCCCCCGGTCCGAATCCATATCTTCGGAAGAATTTTTCGGCGTACCTTATGATCGATGGAGGGAGCAGAGGTGGATTTATGGCCGGTCGGAGTGTGCCGTAATTAATACCTCTTTTGCATGCGATATTTTGATGTGCAAACGTAAACTCGATTATTTAGTAGCGGTATTATGGCTTTTGCCTTAGGTGAAGAAAGAGAGATTTATTGGGAAATTCGGACTACCGCCCATGCGTCCTCGTAATTATCCCTAATTTTCCGTATTAAGTAATATTTAAAAATCCATTAAAGCCAACACGCCGGTTTGACAAACTGGTCTTTTTTATATCCTTTGTATTTGTATAGACCGGGATTTGATACTATCTAAACCTGGTTTTACGACGATCGTAAAAAGGATGTTTTAAATTGTACGCAAGGATTATAATTAAAATAAAAATATAAAGAAAGACTTAGACTTTATTATTTTCTTCAAAATATCTCCAACACCGAGAATGCCCGGGAAAAATTGTCTATTTTTTAATGCGGTCATAATTTTTATTATTACGACGATTTCTTAACGTTTCCATGTAATAAAACCCATATTTACGGCCCCTATATATTGATTATCGACGCCCTGGGGCTCTCGGCCAATAACCGAATTTATTTTTTTTTCTACATACAGAAAGTCCTGATTTTGCAATCATAAATCTGCCGCAGCAAATTTTTCGTGAAAGTTGTCGAGCTTCCACGATGCCACCGGTTAATTTATTAATAACACCGGAGATAATTTGTCGACTTTCACCCGATATACATAAATTATGGTAAAAAACTAAACCCTTAAGACATTTTCTTGCATAGCCGGAAAGAACGAATAAAAAAAGCAGAATTGACGTTTATAACATTTCATGAAAGAACGACAACATGAAACAATCAGTTTAAAAGTGGCTGTAAAAATTTTCAACGCCTACTATCGGTGCCGTTTCCGATAAATTTATTTTATTACATCGGACCGCCAGTCGTAGATTTTTTATCGTTTTTCTCGGAGGATTTTGTGAATATTAATAATTTTTTGTAAGGAAGGATTTGTCTAGTGTTTTTGGTTGTCAAATCCGAGTGTCGAGTCGAGCGCGGCCGCTTTAATTGACACATATTATGATATTAAGATGATGCGATATGCAAATAGGGGCGTCCTGTGTTTGGGGAAACGAGATTTCGGTGGCCGATAAATGGTTGGAAAATCGAGAGCGAAATTGTCGATTTTGGCGATTGAGTCATAAGGTGAAATGGAACATGATCGATATTAATGAAGCAATTATACACTTAATTAGGTGGAATGGTTTAGTAGCGGTGGAATTTAGAGTTAAATGGAACCAGGATCCACAAGAATAAGCGGAAAATTAATGGCGTGTATTTATATTGTCGACCTTATAGATAAATTTTCGACGGTACCGTTTATTTTTATTGGAGGTTACAAGCTCGCTTTTACTATTTTAAGTATTCGTACCAATGGAATGTCGTGGTTTGATAAGTCCCGACGTATAAAATTTAATTAATGTGTAGTAAAAACATAAAGATTGTGTAATGGCCGACAACAGTGTCAGATGTAAAGACGGGGGATTCTGCCACCAGACATTAACATTAGAACTAATGACAAAACACCACACATAAAGCCACAACGAAAACCTAAAGTCTAAAGCATTTTACAACATTACACTTCCCGTCTATAAAGCAATTTTTATTTTTTCCCAAGCTTTTTTTACTTCCGCTTTTTATTTGACTTATCTGTTTACTTTTGCTTTATTGCAGAGCCCACGCTGCTCTTAGGGCGCTTTTCAAATATTTATCTTCAAAAAGTTTTGGTTGCTTCTACACCTACTCGTGTTTCTTTTCATAAAATTTCTTAACCTCATTTTTATCCTGTAAAATCCGAATTAATTATTGCAATGGTTTCTTCGAATTATCGATATTTTGAAGTAATGTATTTATTTTTTTAACTAAGACGGTTAGACAATTTTAAACTTTAAATAAAAGTAATATGAATGTGAATTTTGTGTTTTTACTATTATTAATGAGTGTTAAATTAAATTAACCTAATTAATTAATTTATCAAAAAATATAACTGGCTGGATAATAAAAAACGTCCCAAGCCATAACTGCATTGTTTTTAAAGATATGACAATACTTCTTATGAAAATGTTGCACAGCTTATTCTCATTTATTGATTGGGATCGATGTTCAATTAACGCTGTGACCTGTTTTGACAAGACATCAATTTCAGATTTTTAAATGGAATGTTTTTGGATTTCACGTTAAATTGTCTATTGACAAGCTCAATAACTTTTATTTTTAGGCAATTTAAAGTAGGCTCTGGAAAGAAAAGAACATTTTTATTA